CAATCAGCGTGCTTTTTGTTTGGCTTTACTGCACTTAGCGTGGTACTGTAGATGTAAAATCGCAGAAGTGATGTCGAGAGTTCTACAGAGAAATGGGAAACAATAAAGAAGTGAAAAGCGGCCATAAAACTCAACGTGATAACGAGGAAAACTGAAATGGCATCGATATTGTTCCAAAATTCAGGCTTTTAAACAACGCATTCATTAGATCCCTGTTCGTTTATTTCCTCGTTAGTTTGTTTGGTGCGAAACGTGAAGAAGCTTTGTTTTCAAGTATATGGTCACGTTCTCACCTCAAGCGAAATTTAATTCTAACGGCCCTTACGAGTTTTACTTAAGCATCACGAACTTAATTTAAATACGCAATATCTAAACAGTTTAGGGAAAGCAGATGCCTGCTTCTTTACTTTGCACATATCAAACGCTAATGTGAAAATATGCATTACTCTTCTCACCAAAATCCGTTTTTCCTTTTCATGAATATCCCTTGACTTTCTACTATTCAGGTTGGTATAGGAATCAGCCAAATTACCACAAAAACGTTGTTCCTTTGGCAGCTGTGTGACAGAATATACAACGGGTTTGGTGGTTGTTTGTTTGTGCTGCAGAAGTCGGACGTTCATACAAATTTTAACTTGATAATTGTTGCTTGAACCTTATGCTTCATTCTGGGAACGTCTGGCGCCGGACGAATTAACTACAAAGAAAAAACCGTCAGTCATCCTTACCTTAGGAAGCTGAGGAACAAATGGCAGCCAATACGGAAAATAGACAACTGAGCTCGAAGTGTCTCCAAAAGCGGAACTTTACAAGAACCGTAGTTAGTTGGTGACATCTGACTAATTATGCCAATAATCATTATCATCACAAGAGTCCCCTTAACCCATATGTTTTATCAGATGAAAGCGGGTAACTAAGCAGGACGTGACGTTTTCATTTTTATAAATAAAATATTTTGCATTCATTTACCAAAAACTTCACTTACGGTGTTCTTGTATATTATGCATTGTCGGGCTCCCGTTGAGTTAATTTCTTGAGTTGATTTTTAATTTCTTCACTTAATTCCACCTTGGCTGCGAAGTTTTGGGGAGGGAGGGTAAATAATAGACCTCAATTTATTTTAATCCCCCTCGCAACCAAAATTAAAAATTAATTAACATATGGAACACGTCATATCAGCTTGATGCAGGAGGAAATAAGGAATGATTATTTAGAAACTGCTGGAAATAAAAACTTCCGGTCACAGCTAGACGTTTCGAAGAGTTTTTTTATGTTCGGAGGCTAAATAGTTAATTTAAATTTGTAGCTGTCCATAGATGAGGAATAAACAAAGAAATATCGGTTATTATTCTGATTAAATGTTCTTGCAAGTTGACTAAACGTTTTGTGTTGGTTTAGAAGCTGTACAGAGAGTATGACTTCTATTTATGGATGTCATCCAACGACCATCTGTCAACTCGGGCTCTCAACAGAAGAGTTCACTTGTGCCAGAGCTGTTATTTTGCTGCACGTCTTCCCGGGCAGGAGGAGTTTGTTTGAGGCTTCGTCCAGCGGACTACGCCTGAGGAATTTAAAAACGGAGGTTTCACTCTGAAAACGCATCGAATTGTTTTCTGTCCACTCTACGCCGGAGGAATTTAAAAACGGAATAATCACCGGTTATTTTGGATTTGTGTTTGAGGAAAACTCGGACAGGGAAATCACGTGATTATCGGGACTACGTCGTTTTCGAAAAGCTCCGTTTCACAAAGTTTTTCCGTCCACACGACAACGAAAAGCCGGCGTTTTCAAATTCCTTCCATTTAAAGAGCGTTTTCGAAAAGTTCCATTTTCGTGACGGATTATAAACAATTATTGGATGAGGTTTTTGTGATA